GGAAATCCCCATTATAAAAAATCTAAAGGAAGAAAATTTGGAAAACCGTCACCCCACACACTCTCACACACACCTACATAAAGTAACTAAACCGTAATCATATGAAAATTTGCGGAAATTCCCATTATAAAAAATCTGGAGGAAGAAAATTTGGAAAATGAACAGTGTCTGTAATATCAAAGAAATTTCTGAATTTGTGAAAAAGCTCACCTATCAAGGAATGGACTGCAGTACCCTTCTTGGTATCGAGCTCGTTTACGTTCGTAGTTGAGCTTGAACAATTCCTGCATAATCCTTGGACTCGCAGCAACTTCTTCAGATACGGCTTTGAATATCCGGTCCATGATAGCCTAAACAATTTATTATCAATTCGAAAATGGGTAATTATGGAAGAAAAAACTGCTCTCCAAGTAAACTAACTGGTACAGCAGCCATGAGTGTTGGTTGGAGGGCATAGCAGTCACCATGAGTACCCGCTTTGATTTTACTTGCACGATCATGCAACGTTAATGGACTTGAGTAGCCAATCTGGAAAATCAGTCACTTGTTAGCAATTACAATCACATCAAATGCCTTGCACAGTGAATTATTACTAAACTGACAGCTACCCCTCATGGGATGGTCAAAGCCTAATTCGCTGGAACGAAGGGACGTGTCAAGCGGGATGAGTTTAGCGCAGTGCCAAACCCGTTCTCCACAAGCTGTTGAAGCGAGCAAGTGACAAGGCTGTATCATGTCGTTCGTATCACTCGTTTTCTACAACCTGCTGTCGCATACCCGCTCCAACAACTGGCAGAGAACGGGTTTGGCGCCGTGGCACACCCACCCTGACACCCCCTTTCATCCGCAACGTACAAGAGTATATGGGCAGCAAGCCGTTTGACCGAATACTTTAGAGCGGTACAGCATTTTAAATTACTCCCTCAAAAATTTTAAAGAAAAAGAAAAGTAAGTGCTAAAAGGGAATACAAGTGAAAGAGCAATACCTTGCATCCATAACAAAGCGACGTAAGTTCCGCATCCAATTCGAGAATGTGTGCGAGCGGCAAATATCCAATGTATGTGTCAGTGTTGCTGAAACATGTGACCTGTCAAGAAAACCATTCTAACAAATCCAACAGAGCTGACGTTGTAACCTTACAAACCAAATGGTGGCAACTCCTAACGTTCCAAGCCAAGTTTACTAACTACTACTACTAACTACCGCGGCGGTTCCCCGAATGTCAACGACTTATAAGTAACATAGCTCAACTGCACTGGTAACTCTATAGAAAGCTACCTTTGAGGCAACTTACTAGTCATTCTGGAGCAAATTCTAAAAAAATCATGCAATCCGTTGTTAGGACATGAACCTATGTCAGTCGATTTTTCAGCGAGTATACTCTTCTCAAAGTACCCTAAAATCCCATAGATAAGAGCGGTTTGTGCTAGAAAATGAAAATTGACGTTTGTATACGTTTTTTTGGCGTTGTGTGCTCATGATTATCGCAATAATAGCCTACAACTCTACCTTTATTCTTACTGTTTTCTATACTCTTTCTATCCTGTATCACCTGCTATGAAACGTCGTAAATCGTATACAGCAGCTTTCAAGCTAGACGCCGTCAATTATCGTGATCGATTT